AGAGAGAGAGAGAGAGAGAGAGAGAGAGAGAGAGAGAGGATATATAGATATGGAGAAAGGGAGGGAGAGAGAGATTGGAAAATTCTAGAAAAATTCATTGGTTCTAAACTGAACACTTCTGAGTAGTGTGATGAAATATTTCATATATCACTCTGACCTCTTTGGAATGTGAATCATTCCTCTTCCCAGAATAGCCACACTCTGCAAGTTACCTGCCAGTTAGTTCCATTACCAAATTTCCTGTCATGCTAGCTCAGTGCTATGTTCTAGCAGCCCTTATTTTACTTAATGCTCCCAAAGTGCAAGAATTCTAATATTGACAATTCAGGAGCACCAAAGAGAAGCCAGGAAACATTTCCTGCAAGTCAAAAGAGGTGAAAATTATCAGTAAAGTGTGGGGAAATTCATATGCTGCAATTGTTAAGATCTGTGGTAAGAACAAATATTGTATGCACAAAACCATGGGGGGGTGGAATTTGTGCTAATTTTGCCATTGCATCTCAAACTGTCAGCATCATGACCATAGTAGATGATAATGGCTTCATTAAGATGGAATGTGCATGGAATTATAGGATTCAGTACTGTGGATGAGGGTCTTGAAACATATTCCCCCATGGATGAGAAGGAACTTGCACACATTTGTTTCTTCTCAGGGACTTTTAGACTTGCCTATCACTCATCAGATTTTTCTCAAACTTCCCAGAATTAAGCATTTTATATTACACATCACACTTTGATGAATTTCCCTGTGCAATCTAAAATAAAAACATGTGAGAGAACTACATCCAATGGAAGCTCTGCCTAACAATGGCTGTTCCATATTTATGCCGTTACCACGCCCTGATCCAGCTATGCGAATGTGCATAGAGGTCTAGAATGAGCAAGGCTGGACCAATTGGGTTCTGGTTCCACTGTGGGACACATCCATAAACTAAAGTTTATTTGAATGAGGGCTGAGAAGCCTCCCAGGGGAGTATCAGGAAAGAAACAAGCCAGGCATAATGGATTTTGCTCAAGGAGAAAGGCTTGATTATTATAAAGGATCGATCTAAGAAGAGTGCAGACTGGGTGCCTTAGATGTTCCTCTGTGTCAGCACCCGTTGGTCACCTGCCTAAGTCCCATCAAGGAGTAGAAATGAGAGAGGGAGTTGTAAACAAAGACTCACAGTCCTTCCTTCCTTCCTTCCTTCCTTCCTTCCTTCCTTCCTTCCTTCCTTCCTTCCTTCCTTCCTTCCTTCCATTTTTGTCTGTTTGGGTGTTTGTTTGTGAAATGGAGATCTCATATATCCCAAGCTGGTCTGGAATATCTGATGTTGACCTTAAATTTCTAATCCCCCTGCCTCTACCTCCTGAGAACTGCAATTACAAACATGTGCCACCATGTCTGGATTATGTGCTATAGAGGACAGAACCCAAGGCTTTGTGCATGCTAGGAAAGATCTCTACCAGTGGAGCTAAGCCCTAGCCCAAGAACAACTTCTTTAAACTTATAGAATCTTGAGGCCTGGGTAGGCCTGCTTCCAACCCAAAGCATGCACTCTTCCTACCATGTTTTAAGACCTTGGTCCAAGCGCTCATGGATTAGGGATGCTGTTGCCTGGGTTTGTTCATATACAAAATCATAAAGTACTAAAGCACAGAGAGAGGTTAAATGATTTGTCTGAAGTTGTAAAGACAAAGGCAGTGAGTTAAGAGCTTAAGTTCAATATTTTTGTTTAGCTTTGCTGTTATAATCCTATTATGCCACTTGGGGGAAGAAAAAACATACAGCCATACAATGAAATCTGAATATTTTACAGAACTCCGTCTGTTTCTCCATTTTAATGGTTGGAGGTTTGAGAATTGGCTTATTAGATCTTTTAATTTTCCTAGCTATGATTTTATAGGAAGAGAAATATTAGCTTTGGGGGCAGTAATGTGGATTAAATTAATACAGTTTCATATCAAATGACTGCAGCTAATATAACGTGAAATTCAACTTTAAAGTTGAATTTAGAGTCTGTGAGACACATTGTACTAATCAGAAATATATAATAAAATGAGATCACTGTGTTTTAAAAAGGGACTTGGAAAACATTGACCCAATTTTCTGACCATAGAAGGAAAAGTGGTGACAAGAAAGTTCGAGAAGAAGTTCACAGGTAATGTTAGGGGAGTCTGACACCTCGTCCTGGAGAAGAGAAAGCTGAGGGCAAGTCTTGGGAACACCTGAAGGTCCCCTGGCTAAGAGAAGCCACTCTCTTCTCCACAGGGAGGACAGAGAAAGGTAAAGCTTTCCGTGAGCACTGAGAGGTCTGTTGTGATGATATTGACAGAGATATCCTTATCTGGGACATCCTTTAGGCAGTGCAGTTGTATAAAGATTATAAGTAGCTCGTATCAAGTACTCAATCTAGGGAGAAAGCCGTAGCTATCAACGGATTTGAGGGATCCACAGTCTCTGTTACCATTTTGGAAAACTTCAATCATCACCATATGGTGGAAGCTAAAGGTTATTCACCAACAAGTCAGGGTAGGGAGGGTAGAGAAGCAGTGTGCCACTTCCGTTAAGTGTTGGGATAATCTCTGTGAATGCCACCCACTCTGTAGTGCTCTTGCCTAGGCCTGTGTTTAGAATATCTCTCCATACCCTCCTCCTCTGCCTTCTTATGTCCAATCAGAGATGCCTAGTAGCCACCTGTTCCCATAGTGACAATCTATGAATGTAGAGTGGAAATAAGACAGGACATTAAATTTTAAAAACTATCAGCCTAACTTCATAATGTGAATAATATGCTGCAGTAATCATCTGAAACACAATAGAATTCTGGGTACCAGTGATTATCACAAATTGCAGACCTCATGTTACCCCCTTTCTCTTATCACAGAAGGACTCTGTAGCAGGTGGCAGGGGGACATGTGAGTAGCTTGCAATTAGAGGCAGGAGCTCCATCCTGGTGGGGTTTTCGTTAAGACCCATAACCACATGAAAGGTGACTGGGATGGCACACATCGGAATTTCCAGCCTGACCCTCAGTGTGGGCACACTGGCAGTG